AGATAGACAGACAGACAGACAGACAGATAGACAGACAGACAGACAGATAGACAGACAGACAGACAGATAGACAGACAGACAGACAGACAGATAGAGATATGCACGGTTCCATCGTGCCTGTTCATCGAAATTTGATGGTGCCCCCATCAAGCCCCACCGCGCACCAATTGGGCACCACACGAACCCCCTGCTCAACCACGTGCAGAGACACTTCGAAATCTGCAGGTGGTGCCGGATACTGTTTGCTATAATGCAGCCATTGCTGCGTGCAGAAGTTGCTCCTTGCTGGCATTGCTTCGCTGGGTTTCCAAATGGACTCGTCAGAAAATAGATCGGCTCTCACGACCGAGTACCAGAGTGTGACAGTTTTTCCAAATTTTCCAGCAAGAGTTTGGTGTTGCAACACTTTCTCAGAATTTCTCATATAATTCTCGAATTTCCATCATTTCGATGATTTTCCACAATCTTTTCAAGATTTTCCATCTTCGGAAAGGTTCCCAAAAGATTCAATGGCCTCTACCCATGGCACCAGGTGGACAGTGGCAGATGGCCTTCGAAGTGTTGGACCGCATGGGGAAGGCCAAAGCTGCGCCGAACGTCAACAGCGTCCCGGCTGATCCGCTCCATGAGCTGAGGGGGCCATGGTGGGCCATGGGGTGAGGTTCCCAAAGGTGTGGATTTAACCAGCATAACTTGGGATTTCACCTCAAACATGGGGATTTAACCGGTACAAGCGTGGAAGTTTCTGATCTTGGCAACGAATGTGCGCGCTTGGGAATTTCCATGGATTTTTCATGGTTCATCGGCTCAAAGAGATCTCAAAGAGATCTCAAATGAACAAACAACTATACAGATCTATACAGTATACTAATTTAGTAGGCCAAGTTAAAAATGTTTATCTATGGCCTTGTTTGGTTGATTTTGCAGGGCCAAAAAATAGAAATAATTGCTGTATCAACAGGTTGTATCCTTACGATTCGATACGATCTGTAATGGCTATGTACTTTTCTTTTTTTGCTGCAACCCTATGAGTAAAAACATCTAATTAAATCAAATATTAATATATTAAAAAAAAAAACATAGATAAATAAATGTACATATATAATCCCCTCAACTACTAGAGGGTCTAAGATGGTTTGCCTAGGGCTCCCAAGATGGAAGGTCTAAGATGGTCTGAAAATCATTGTAGACCTTTTGCCTCCTACCATGTTAGACCCTTACTATCATGAGGGAAATCCATTCTAGACCTTTTGGCTTTTGCATAGGGAACATCATCTTAGACCCTTTGCATCCTTGGAACCTTAATAAAGGTTGCCAAACGCATACCAAGCAACCACAACCAACATCAATCAACCACAACCAGTGGAGACATAAGGCGCAATCTTGTTGTCACAAGATGATGGTAAAATGGCGATGTTATTTTTTATGTAATGGATTGTAATGGTTCATAATGGTGCATAATTACACAAATAAACGAACAACATATTTGATGAATGCTTGCGAATCGCATAATAACATATTGGGAAATGATTCCAAATCAAGTACTCATTGGTACCAACACATATCATTGATATCTTTGTTGATGGTGATGGTTTCTCTTCTGTGTAGTTGGGAATGATCCATCTTGATGGGTCTGAAATGATGTTCCCATAGCATTTGTGGTGAATATTTCTGGTTTCAGGATGTGGTAAACCATTTCAGACCCATGAAGATGAGGAAAAGATAATTTATCTGGCATATCTTCTGACATTCTATCTGGCATATCTTCTGGTTTTCTATCTGGCATATCTTCTGACATTCTATCTGGCATATCTTCTGACATTCTTTCTGATATGTTGATGGTGATGGTTTCTCTTCTGTATAGTTGGGAATGGTCCATCTTGATGGGTCTGAAATGATGTTCCCATAGCATTTGTGGTGAATATTTCTGGTTTCAGGATGTGGTAAACCATTTCAGACCCATGAAGATGAGGAAAAGATAAAAAAAACATATTGGGTCACATCACATAATTACACATCCAACCCCAAAATACCTGGAAGGTTGGAATGATTCCAAATCAAATACCCATTGGTATTAACACATATCATTGATATCTTTGTTGATGGTGATGGTTTCTCTTCTGTATAGTTGGGAATGGTCCATCTTGATGGGTCTGAAATGATGTTCCCATAGCATTTGTGGTGAATATGTCTGGTTTCAGGATGTGGTAAACCTTTTCAGACCCATGAAGATGAGGAAAAGATAAGAAAAACATATTGGGTCACATCACATAATTACACATCCAACCCCAAAATACCTGGAAGGTTGAAATGATTCCAAATCAAATACCCATTGGTATTAACACATATCATTGATATCTTTGTTGATGGTGATGGTTTCTCTTCTGTGTAGTTGGGAATGGTCCATCTTGATGGGTCTGAAATGATGTTCCCATAGCATTTGTGGTGAATGTTTCTGGTTTCAGAATGTGGTAAACCATTTCAGACCCATGAAGATGAAAATATAATTTATCTGGCATATCTTCTGACATTCTATCTGGTATTCTATCTGCCAAATCTTCTAGCATTCTATCTGACATTCTATCTGGCATATCTTCTGACATTCTATCTGGCATATCTTCTGGTATTCTATCTGGCATATCTTCTGACATTCTATCTGGCATATCTTCTGACATTCTTTCTGATATGTTGATGGTGATGGTTTCTCTTCTGTATAGTTGGGAATGGTCCATCTTGATGGGTCTGAAATGATGTTCCCATAGCATTTGTGGTGAATATTTCTGGTTTCAGGATGTGGTAAACCATTTCAGACCCATGAATAAGAAAAACATATTGGGTCACATCACATAATTACACATCCAACCCCAAAATACCTCGAAGGTGGAAATAATTCTATCTGGCGGAAAAAATGCAAGGCGAGCATTTTGCAATGGAAACTGTCAGGATGCGTCGTGTTAATCAGAGCTTTTTCAAACTGCCCTCGGTGGAATGGTCGAATGGCAAGATTTGGATATTTCGGATTGGTTTATTCAAAGTTGTGGGTAGACACAGTTCAGGATAACTCTGGGGTAAGTTGGTTTTACTCGAGTCGAGAAAAATCAGATTTTTTAAACTTACCCCCTATGTTAGGAAATCTTAAGGCACCAGAGTGTGACAAATATTTATTCATGTTTATTGTATAACCCAAAAATTGTCAATTTGAATTCCATCTGCATGTAAAACAAATAGACTAATATTAAATCAATATAGTCTCGAAATAACCACAATATAACCCTTAAATAAGAGAATATAGGAGATATGCTCCTGAGGGAAGGTACTTCAAGCTTTGATGTTAGGCTTACTGCCGGAGATGCCGGGCCCAGGGGTCTAAAGTGAAGTTACCTCTCTGAGCCTTCCAGTATCATAGCTGTGTTATGTGCAAGTTCCCGGACCCCTAGGTAAGGTCTAGCATGGTTCCGTTATGTTTCTGGAATCACCTGAGTATTTACATTCCAGACCCCACTTTAGACCCTAGATCCAGGGTCTACAATGAAGTTTCCTAGGGTCTGGGGATAGTAGTTGAGAGGATCATATATATATATTTATACCCATGCTAATATGAATGCATACATTTGTGTATCAATTCTAAGTTGGACCCGCAGCCATTGTGGCTATAGCTAGATTTGGTTTTGCAACTAAGTTTCAAAACATTAGAAACCATTCAAATAAAAATAGCGTGGATAAATCCAATCATAACTCCAATCAATTCCCTAAGTCATAAACTAAATCCATTTCGTAGTATAGATACAGATGCATCCACCGCAATTCAATGATTTCCACGGTTATAAACCGCTGGCAGGTTTCAATGCGGTGATCGCCGCCTGTGCCCTGCCTGGTCTGTGGGACACGGCCCTCTGGCTGCTGCACCACATGGGCATTGCCAGGACAATGGGGCGCCACAATGGATGAAACTTCATATTATTTATTATTTGTAGGTGACTTTCACCATGACTCACCATGAACATGATTAAATTGCCAGAAAATGGTGGTATGCCACATTTTCAGACACACCATGACACACCCTAAGTTTCACTTAGCTAAAATGCTGCAGGATGCAGTAAGATGCCCTGCTGCAGCTGCTTGCCTGCCAACATTTTTGCTGTCCTCGTTTTCAAGAAGCCAAACACATTCTGGAAGTCGCTGGAAGTGATGGCTTGAATGAAGCCTTGAAGCCTTTGCATCTCTAGATTGGCTGCGTGTCGAAGGATCCAGCACGACATTATCAGCAACTTGGCGGAAGTGCTGCACATTTCATTGGAATGGAACCCAAATATTCCTGATATGATATGATTACTGTATATTCTCCCATCATAGTCCGGTTGCAGATAAAATTGTTCAGTTTGTTCATTCCTCCATTCTGGAAAAGCAGCTTTTGGCTGGTAAACTCATCTAGGATCAATGGTTTGTCCTGCATTCACCTGGTACCAGATGAAGCATCCAGCATGTCACACCGAGATCTCTGAGGCATCAATAGCTGCATCACAGCTTGCGATAAGGACTGATTTGCTGCTTTCCATACCCTCGCTCTTGCCCCATGAGAGATACAAGATGGTGCCCCAGTTCGTTAGCTAAGTTGGTGCGAACAACTCCAATTTCACTATGGTTTATGGTAGAGATATCTATACTTGCTATAGTTTATAAACCAACTTATAACTGGGGGGGCATCACCTTGTACGGATACAGGGAGGACTACATCTTTGATCCGGCCTTTGGTAGGCAGACGTTTCAAGTCCATGTCCGTGTGACAGTTTTTTCATGGACTGCCTCTCAAACTCTGGCTTGGATCATTCCATTCATGCAAGCCAAGAGCAAGCCCCTCGTGTTTTAGGAATCAGAACAAGATGACTCAACATTTGTGAACCCCCAAGTAGATTCAGAATACCAAAATTTATGGGGAGAAAACATTACCCTCTGGTTATTTAACATAGCCATGGAAAATGGTCCATTTATAGATGATTTTCCCATTGAAACCTCCATTTATAAGGGATTTTCCATGGCTATGTTAAATAACCAGATGGTATCTTTTTCACACGGCAGGCGGGGCGCTGGGAGACGGCCTTGGCGCTGCTGGCGGAAACGGAGGGGGCTGACATCGTTAGCACCTGGATGTGCGGGGGGGCAAATAAACTCCATCAAAATCTAAAAATGCTATATACCCTCTTTGATATATATCAAAATTATCAAAATACCATTTTTATTAGTTATATCAAAATGCTATAACATGATATAAAAACACATTGAAATGCTGCTATATACCCTCCGGTTTCAAACGTGGCTGGAAAATCTGGTTGCACATCTCCCATGACGATTTTCCAGCCACATTTGATTACCAGAGGGTACAGTAGTACAGTAGACATGATGAAACGCCGTAATAACTTTCGGGTGCAGTTGGGTTTGTTTATATGGCAGTGTGTCAAAACCTTGTACCCCTGGTGAACATCAAAATAGCTTGTAAATGGATGTTCATCCCCCTAAAAATGGTATTAATAGGTATTGATCCATACCCATATGGGTAGAACTAACATGGTTTAACCATGTGATTCTAACATGTCGTGAAAAAAAATAACGACTGTAAGTTGGGATATGACCTCTATTTCACTCTGGCTGGATAAGTAGCGCAAATTGGCATCAAACTGTAGCTCAGGCAGCTGGAGCGACAAAGCAAATGAGGATATCAGGACATGATCATCCTCATCATCCATTAGTTCTTTACGCCTTGAAATAGAGACTAGATAATTTTCGTAGATTATTAAAGATGGAACCCTAATGGATTCTACCAGATACTGCAATTTCAAATTAATGAGGTTATGCCGCACAATGCCTGTGAAATGCCTATGGTTGGTTTCGTGGTGCCGTCCATGGCGGCGCTTACACGCGCGGTTATGCGCGGTTTCGTTCTGAGGCTTCTCAGCGGCCATTAGCGCTTGTGGCTTCGCAGAGCAGTGGCAAACTGCGCTGGCATTGCTGGCAGGCAGGGGACGGGCTGGGCAAATTTGATTTTCCCTGCAGAACATCAAAAATTGTTGCGATACACCATTTTCAAACAGACCCAAATGGATAGAAATGAATTGTAATGTTCACATCGTATTAATTACCCTCGAGAAGAAAATCATTTGCTGAGTAAAGTTCAGGCCAAAGATACTTCTTGGGACCCCGGACATGGAGTCAGGTGATTTTTCTTCTTAGCTGAGAAATGTAATAATTTGTTTTTTCTGGGAATGGAGATGGATGTTTGTTTTAAGTTTGAATTGAGTGTAAGTTGACTTCAATTTTGATTTGCATTTAAATTGATTCGAATCTCAATTTGAATCACATTAAATGTGAACTCACTTTGAATCACATTAAATGTGAATTGGCTCCAAGCGCTTCCGCTTGAAACTGAAATGGAACTTATATAAACTGGTTTGAACATGAATTAGAATTGACTTTTTCTTTGGATTTTTAGGAAGCTCCCCAAAAAATGGAGCACTCTATTTGGGGGTCAAACAGTGCTGTTTATGATGGTTCCTATTTTTTTGAGGCTACCCACTTGGTGAGTTTGTTGGGAAGCAGTTTTGAAACAAGCTGCAAGAAGGAACATGAAACTTCAGGACTTGGATTGTCCTATTTGTTACAGTGGATTCTTAAGGATGTTTTAGGAGGGCCCCTAAAAATGGATCGCTTTATGTGGGTCAAACAAATTGTTTGAATGCTGTTGGTTATTATTTGTTGCCACTTGTTTATAGGCGACCCCCTTTTCCCACTTGATTCAAACAAATAGGAGGGAAAGACGGGGGAAACAAAAACAAAAGAAATGACGCAACAAAAATACCTCCCAAACAGGTTGGCGTTCTTTGAAGGGTTTGTTAATCAGTCCTGGGATTTGACTTACTTTATTGTGGCAGGGGATTGCTAATTAACATGATATGAACATCATTAAATTATCGAAATCTGTAGGCATAATCAAAAACTTATTGTTTATCTTTGTTTTAGATTTCCATGCCCGTGCGAAAAATGTGACGTTTCCATGCGCCTGGCAAAAAAATGTGATACTGTTGATTGCAGAAGAACATGATAGGAATATCAGAAACTCATGTTTTAGGAGGTCAGGGGGTTGTCCCTGGAATGTTTCCAAATGTCTTGAAACAGAGATGGTAAACGAAGTTGATTTAATATGTTTGGAGTATATAGTTGCCATGGACAATCCATTTTGGACTCTGACCTTTTGGCCCACCGACTAGGCACTCCACTAAGTCTCAACAGTGCGTTCAACAAGAGCTCTGCGCGGGTCTGTGGCTTGGTCGTATAATGGCCCTTCCATATTTCTGTTGGGTTATGCAGATGATCGGTTTGGTATCCCTATCACATGCTATGGTGGATGTTCAGCTATCCTTGTCGGGTAGATATCACAGCTGACGGTACTGCATAGGCAGAGAAAGAGACAAAGCAAGCTGGAGATGTAATGAATTGTAATGATGTAACCATGAATATTTATATGAATATTGTGGGGAGATTTGGCTAGAGCCAATGCTGTCACTGTCATTTAAGCTTCCAATCAGTCGCAGATTTGTCGGTGACTGCATGTTACTGTAGCGGCTGGCGGACTCGGTTTTCCATGGTTTTTCTGGATCACATTGTCACAATAAAAAATCAATAACATAGCAAACTTAAATTCGCCCATACATGTATGTACACACTTTATTATATATATATATATTATGTGTGTGTAATTATGTATGCATATCATATATCAATCCAATTCTGTCTATATACTGTATACAAATATCATCCTATATCCTATATCCATATTTATCCTTTAAAGTGCATGGTTTGCTGGAAATGGCCAGCCACCTCGTTGGCCAGGTTGGAACACCGCGATCAGTGCCTGTGAGAACTTTGGCAGCTCGAAGGGTTCCAAGAAAAACAGATTGTCGATTGTATATCCCATCATGTGTCCATAATGATGGTTGGATATGGTTGGTATATTCCCATTACATCCCCATAAAAATGCCTTGTAAAAAAAAAAAAACAGCAGCAACCCCCAGATTTCTTGATGACAAAAACCAGGGTAAAACCAGCAGATCTCCCCTTCAGCCAATCTATTGATAGACAATGATTCACAAATGTGGCCAGTATATAAAGTATATTAAAGTATATAAATAATTATATCATCCTTTCATATCCCATCACTTTTCTCTAGCGTAGGGCTAGTATGTTCCCATGATGTATTCCATGATGGGTGGTATATTCCCATTGACATCTCGATGTTTGGACCAGGAAGGGGCAGCAATGGCAGCAGGCATTACATCTCCTGTGCCTCGGTGCTCTCCCGCTGAAAAAGGGGAGATACCTTCCATTTCCATAGCTTCCACAGATAGACTCCAGGTTTCCAACTTCTCCAAGCCTACGAAAATCTCCAGGTTTCCAACTTTTCCAGGTTTCGATGTGAAAAAGATGATTATTCCGCAAGATTTCCAGGTTTCCAACTTTTGTATATTGAGTTTTGCATATAGTTTTACCTTCCAACACGTGCGCAAAAATAATTAGAGATGTTTGAAACATGTTGGTATATAATGATGAATAAAGATGCATATAAAGATGGCGATGGAGAGAGAGAGAGAGAGAGAGAGAACGATATATATATAATTATATATATATATACATACACAGATAAATATGTATACATAGCTTTTTCCAGATTAGTTGAGCGGATGGCAAGCGTATCAGACAGACATGGTCATCAGAGCACAGAAGCACTCATCTCAAGCCAAATGGTTTTCTTCTGGGGTATGGGTCGGGTCGGGGCAAGCGGTTCCATCCCATCAGAGAAAGAGAGAGCACCCCCCTAAACCGCTAAACATTCCTTACCGTCGTCATTGACCCATTCTTGTCAATCCCTTCTCCCGACTAAACAGGCCCCAAGAACCCTGGTTTAGTGTATACAGTAGATTTCTTCATATTTCTTCTTTTGGATCTTTTTGGGGTCCTATGGCCTATGGCAGGGGGGATGGGGTTAGTCTTTCTAGTGTTGCTGGTTGCATCTCCATTCACCATTCTTCGCGTTGTTGATTGCATCCCCGTGCATTCTAGATCCAGCTGGGTCGATCTCCATCACAATGTGGCAAATCCAATCGTAAGCCATCAACAGGCTGTGGTATATGGGATATATATATATATATAATATAATATAATATAATATAATATAATATAAATATAAATGTAAATATAATATAATATAATATAATATATATATGGGATTGGGTTTGCTGCACTGCATCTTCATCAAAAGATCGGATTTGTTGTTCAAAATTCAAACTGTAACCCACGAAATACTGAGGTCCTCTATGCCGACAGCGGCGCTGAGTCCGGACGTCATTAGCTTCTGGGTGAGGAAAACTGTGGGAAGTTTGGGAGAGATCCCTAGAGCAGCTGCAGGTTTGTTGAACAAAATTCCTGTTGATATTCAACTGACTTTCTTTTAGCTTTTTTTGCTCAGAGGTAGCTGGAGCTGCGGTTTCTCTGCATTTGACCTCGCGGCTTTGACATATCTCACCACTAAGGCTACAATGCGGCCATCCGTGCCTGCGAGCAAAGCAGTTGGTGGAGAAATGCGCTGCAACTGCTGCAGCTTGGACAAGTTGTGGTGGCCATAGTAGCAGTATCTCTTGAAACAAAGGTTGGAGGACAGTTCCGGGAAAAAATTGTTTGAGTGGTTTAATATATTTTAATATGGTTTAATGCTATGTTGTGTCTCTTGCCAGAATGCGCAATTTGATTGGGGTATCAGAGCCGTAAGCCATGAATCCCAAAAAAGTCAGGATATTTTTGTGCGGCATCATTGCGTGAAGCTGATTTTTGGCCGTATCCTGGACGGCAGGCAGGATGCTGGTCCTGGTGCGGATGTGATCACCCACAATGCTGCCATGGCAGCCTGCAAGAGCCTTGTTGGAACAAAGATGAGAACAAACCAGGGACCAGAAATGGACATGTTGCATGACCTTGGCTGGTATGTTCGTTGCATTCGAAAAAATCGTTGCCTATTGCAGGGGGAAAAACATCAATCCCTTTGCAAGTATGTACACTTGAACGTAAATACATACTGTACATAAATATGTCTATGACTGTCTACGTGAATAGTTGCTGTATTTGATTTACGGTGTATGATTTTCAAAGAGAGGGAGAGATGTACGCAATGGGTTATGGGTATACCTATAAGCTTCGAGATTTAATCCTTAATCCTTAGCCAGATTACGGATTAATTAAGGGTTTGCAGATTGCGTGTTTTGGGGCAGCATTCACAATGAAACTGCGGGTCAACCCGCTGCAATTGATTGCAGTACTCTGCGACTAGTATTGACTCCGCCCGGACTGTTCAGACACCAAAGGCACTCCCAAGGCACTCAAAGGATCTCAAAGGTAGACTCAAAAACTAGCGAGGGAGAACCGCTCAGCAATGGAGCCATTGGTTTTGACTCTGCCCGGACTAGTTTGGACGCCAAAGGCACTCCAAATGCACTCAAAGCTAGACTCAAAAGCCAGCGAGGGGGAACCAAACAGCAATCGAACCACTAGTTTTGACTCCGCCCGGACTAGTCTTGACACATCTTGACACATCTTGACACATAGACTCAAACGCTAGCAGGGTGGAACCTAACAGCAATTGAACCACTAGTTTTGACTCCGCCCGGACTAATTTTGACACCAAAGGCACTCCCAAGGCACTCAAAGGTAGACTCAAAAGCTAGCGATGAGAAATCGTGTTACACTCTCATACCCAGAGGTCACCAAGCACACTCATTCTTGTTTAACCCATGAACGCTGCCATGTTATATGTACCGGGATTCAGCATTAAATCGGATTAGCCCCCGGAACGGGATTACTGGATTGAGGATTAGTTTTAAAACGCGGGAGATTTCGGAGCAGCCACTGTATATAGATACAGAATGATAAAGACAGACAGGCAGGCAGGCAGACAGACAGACAGACAGAGAGAGAGAGAGAGGGTGTGCAGCCATCCTTCCTTGGCGCAGTTCTTTGGCATTTAGCCAGGTCCACCTGTTTGAGCCTGGCTGTCCGAAATCTTCTTGGCTCATCAGCGAACTGCAGGTTCAATGGAGGAGATCATTTCAGGGCCAGAAATTCCACATTTTCTGCTGACATTTGGAGACTCTCTATCACTTACTTCCTGTCGCCATGGCGCGTTTGACAGGGCTGGTGCTGTTGGCTGTCTTGGCTGCCGCCCTGCGGTCCCTTGCTTGGGTCTCTCCGGGTTTGACCCCAGTGCCGCGTGTGGGGGTGCAGCGATGTGCTCAGGTGGGGTATCAGCATGTATAAGTTGCGTTTGTGGGTGGGATTTTCTGTTGGGTGTTCCAGGTGTCACCATAAGTTCTTCCATGATGTTCCCATGGGTTTCCACGAGTGTTCCAGTTGTTTCATGATTTCGGCCTTCTGTTTGCAAAGTCGTCAGGTCATTCATGTCCACCGTGAGTCTTGGGCGAACGAGTTTAAACTGCCTGAGTTTCGTGGTGTTCTTCCCAAGGCATCCTTCCACATCTGGGCTTCCCCAAACCAGCCAGCTGCAGGTAGACCCTGGAGACTGCAAGGCCGTACGCAACGATGCGGTCAGCGGTGTGCAACTTCCCACCATGGATGAGGATGAGCCCGCCTGGCTGTCCTTTGTCATTGCCCGATATCTGGATGAGGAGCGCCTACCGGGTATGGTAAACCTTTGTTGAGCAGCTTAGTGGGGGATCTGTGCCCAACGGGCAATCAGGATAATCATATTCACATCATATTCACAAACTCACTAACCAGCCCCAAAAAAAAGTACCCAAGATTAGCGGTGGATGATTGGAGAAGGTTGATATCGATCCAAGATTTCTTTACCAAAGAAGACCAAGGTGGAGCTGGAGGAGATGATCTAAGGTGGTGAAGAAATGGGCGCCAGTCACATCTAGTCACCCAATTTAGGAATCACTGGAATTCGCCACATGTGCTATACATGTGCTGCATTGTGCCCTGGTATTTAAGCTCCATCTGTTCGCCATAACTTGGGTCTACCCTTTGGTAAATTAACATAACTATATGGAAAATCATTTTTTTGTGGGTAAATTCACTATAAATGGGCAATTTTCAATAGCTATGTTAGTTTACCAGAGGGTATATACTGCAACCTTTTTGGAAAAGTTAAACCGATGCTATTGATTGCGACGGATTTCCCTCCATGGATTTTGAGGCACGCCGATTTGACCACAACTTGGGCCCAGGAGTGGGTGGAGCAGCCTGTTCACAAGGAGATTGGTGAAGCGGTGGCGCAGATCTACCGTGAGTCACGCGCGGAAGGTGGGGCTTTCGCCTCCTCCTATCTCAAATGAAAGATGGGGAAATACTAATGTGGTTAGAACAAGAATAACCATAAATGGGTGGTATAAACTTTATAAACCATCAAAAATGTGGTGGCTCATTATTGTTTTACCCACGTTACTTCCAATATGCAATGTTTTTTTTTTTCTGGGGAAAAACTCTCAGGAATTTGCTTTTTCATCAGTGACGCCAGCAGGTGATGATGACCTCATTGCAGTTCTGGCCAAGCTGTCTTTCGGACTTAAGGCCAACGGTTGCCACGCGAGCCAGAGTGGCCTTACTCCAGAGTCCCAAAGTATCCAAAAATCTACAGGAAAAAATGGTACCCCCATAGGAGATCGAAACTGAAAGACTTCACCCAAATCAACTGAATCAATTTTGGGACCGTCTATTTCTGCATCTGAAACTTTCGAGTTGCGCACCTTCGCCTCTCCCACCCGAAAAAGTCGAGGGATGCCCCAAAAAAGGCCCAGGGTCCTCCCAGCAGTTGGTCTGAAAATCGTGTAGCCATGAGTAGCCCTAAATCCACTGGTCAATCATAACTGGGTAAATTATAACGACCTCACTGCGACCTCACTGGAAGCATGGTTAGTAAGAGGAATCATCCCAAAATTGCCTTATTTCAGGTTAGTGAATTATTATAATTTACCCAGAATCATAATGTTCCCTCTTAAACTTGCCACAACTGGCTGCCCTCTGCAGGACATGTGGCGCAGCGCTGGCTTTGGAGACGCTTTCGAAGGTCCAGTGGACGTGGCCAACCGAGTGGCAGAGCTGTTGATGCTGCGACAAGGCTGGCGGGGTGGAACCCGGGCGCGGAAACGACTTGGGGGTTTTACCTTCCAGGGAACTAACAAAATATATGGAAATCCCTGGCTTTCCCCAATGACCTAATGATCAAAATCATGGCTGTTTTTTCATATCTATCTTAGTTTACTATAGAGTTACTAGAGCGTAGAGTCCGAGGATATGGGCCCCATGCGCTTATATGATTTCAATGGATATCCAGGGGTCATGGATTGCAAGAGTAGGAATCATGATGCTGCGGGGATCATTGTCATTTCATCATCATCATCATCATCATCATCAGTATCAGCATCAGCATCACCATCACACATTTTATATGCTACGCATTGCTACGCTGCTACACGAGCCACAATCAGCTACCAATCTGTCATCAGTGCTGTGTCGTCTTCGCGGCTGCTGTGTCGTCTTCGCGCACTGCCAGGAGGAGAAGTTTGGAGTTACGGTCGCAGCAATTCAGATGTCCAGCAAAAGATGCTGAAGCGGCTTGAAGAGTATGAAGAGGTGGGCTGCTGGTCAATGTGAGCTGAACACGCCCAAGATTTCCCAAGCTAATTGCATTCCAGGTGCAGAATCTTGCAGTAGGATCGCACTCACCGAGAGTCAAACTCAAAGATTCAGACTTTGTTTTAAAAACACAGTAGACCACTTTGTCTCTGCGGAGAGGATCCAAAGACGGTATAGGGAGGTCATTGAAACCTACTATGCATGGTGACCTTTCCCCACTTTTTCGATGCTTGTGAAGCTGGAGGCCAGAAAGCAGCTCGCAACCGTTGGATGAGCAGATTTTGAGCAGCGTGGCTTGCAGGTGAAGATCTAACGGCACCGGAAAGTGATCGACCAATGATTACCTACAAACTCAGGATCGTCATAAATTGTCCATTCCCAGGTTTCTGCGCCATGATTGGCATTCGTGCGAGGGTTTTGACACAGAACAAACATCACAGGTTTCCACGTGAGCTGAGGCACGATTGGCAAATCTTCCCCTGGCTCTGGCACGGTGTCAGAGCTCGCGGTGCGGATTTGGCAGCTGTGGGGGTGACACCTGCAGATGCACCGCCCCGCCGCAAGTCAAATTCAGCCGAAGTCTCTTGCCCCTGTTGGATGAACATGGATGAACCATTATAATTTATATATATATATAATATATAATATATATATAATATATATATATATTTTTACAATGATACCATGGAACATGATAAACAAATGATGAAATATGATATCATTTATATTATATCTGATAGCAATGAGCTGTCTACTATGATCATCCCATTCCGGGTCACAGTGGAAAAACTACGGGGGTGACACCCCTCTGAAACCAACAAGAGGCTGGCTGGACCTTGTCAGCCGCTAGCCGGTCCCTCCTCATGGCAGCATGGCAATGTTTTTGCCAAAACTATCAAAGAGTATCCATTTTACGTAATGAAAAAAATACACTTCCTGAGTCTAAGTAGCAAGAAAAATCTGGTCAGACGCAAGTTGGGTCCTCCTATACATGAAGTTCATCATGTTTACTTGAGCTATTGAAATGCAGCTGCAGGGATTGCAATATCCCCGCGCCGGCAGGGACCTTTGAAGGCCCGTCGATCTCGATTTTCCTCCGGCTGGCGGCTCCCAGACCCCCGAAACGACATGGAACAAAAAGAGTTGGAGTTGCTGCGAAGACTTGGAAGACTTGCTTGGGACTAAGGAAGGGAAATGACGGATGAAATACGGTAAAATTATGTAAAATTAGAGAGAATGAAAGAAATTGAAAGAAAGGTCATGAGTCATGACGCAACTATTATTGCTTTGAAATAGCACGCATCTGATCGCAACAGTACGTACGACATTGTTGTGGGTTCATCATGTAACACGTCCCGATTCAGAATACCCTTTCGGACTGGTCGGACTGGCTGCCTTGGAAGCCCGGACATCACCAATCGCTTGGAGGAAATAAATTGGGGTCGCAGCTTGGGTTTCTCGCAGTCTTTAAATGGGGAACCCCTATTATATCATATTATCATATATATTATCTTAATGGCGGAAAAGGATGAACATGGATGAACAGCACATCTGGTTCTGGTTGGTGGTTTGGAACATTTTTATTGTCCCATATATTGGGAATTTCATTTGATCCCAACTGACTTTCACTCCATCATTTTTCAGAGGGGTAGGGCTCAACCACCAACCAGTACATGGTGGAGCCCCCAAGTGTGACCGATGGTGACCGGTGTTCCAGGAAAGCCCGGGCTTGGGTGGTGGCCCTGGAAGTGCTTCGCGGCATGCCAGCGACTTTTCAGAGTTTGGAACTCGACAGGGGCCAAAGAGGGGACATAATATAAAATATAGATAAATAGATATGATATAAATAGTAAAATCATTCTTTGGGCGCCCATTTTTGGGAATTTCCATGAGATGTTTCGGAGGTTTGAACATCATCTCAATCTCAAAGTTGGTGATCCCTCAGCTTGTTTTCCCATTGCGCTGCTTTGGATGTGCAATCAATCGCCATACCAGCTTCGCCTTCCCAGTGACGCCTTTGTTGATCCCCCCCTGGAATCTGAGGTGAAACCATGTGAAACCCGTTCTCTTTTTTTCGCATTTTTGCATAGGATTATATATATATATATATACCAAGGTTTCGGTTCATGAGGAGCCAGTCTTGTTTGACTGCTGGCTTCCTCTAGCTTTGACCTTAGGGGCGTAGCTTTGGATGGTAAGCTGTCGCCTCGCTTTCAAGGTTGCCTTCATTGCCTGTGAGATCTGCGTTTTTGCTAGGGACGTTGGTGAAGTTCAGAGAACCTGGGTGGCACAGAAGGCTGCGGAAGCAGCGCCAACTGTGCAGGGGTTTCATCCGGAGATCAGCATCTGGACTTCTGGGAAAGAGAACTCGCAAAAAACTGAGAAAGAAAATTTTTTGGCTGGCAAGTCATCATTCTTTTCAGATACACGAAGTTCCTCCCCTTATAAGACAGTCTCTGCAGATGACGTGGCGCTGCAGGCAATGCAAGGTGAACAATGGAGAGAAACAAGAGTTTTGCAGGAGCTGCAGTGTGCATTGGTCGCAGGTATGGCAAAGACCAAAGCGCCGATCACGCAGCAAAAGTGCAAAAGCAACCTCTTACAGGGATCCGGAGCAGAGCAAAGTCTCAGAGGAAGGTGTGAAAGATTGGAGTGTCTTTCCAGGAAATGCCCCATGGATACCTTCAACGCCTTCAGGAAGAGCTGTGAACAAGAAGACAGATCAGTCCAATGGAGCTGGTGCCAAGGAATCGATGGTGGATCAATCAGTGATTCAACCGGTCTCATCGCAAGTAGCAGCAGAAACTTTGTCTCCGGAAGAAGAGAAGATTTTAGAGCACCTCAAAGGATTGAAGAGTGCAGGAATAGATCTGACAGAACAAATGGAGCAGCAACAGCAGAAGCTGATTGCCAAGCAGCAAGTGGCAGCTGCATCGAAGGCACTCACACATGGACATCTCAATCGCCTTACCAAGCTCAAGACACAGGTCACCACGGCAGCGGACAAGGTGACGAAGTTGGATCGGGAGTGGAAGGCTTTTGTAGAAGCCACTACGCAAAAAGTGCGTCAACATGCAGAGCTGTTTCAGAAGTGCAGATCGGATCTTTTAGAGGCATACAACATGAAGTTGGCCGAGCTCCATGCATTGAAACAAGAGATGAGTTCGGCATCGATGTCAATGCTGGGGCCGGCGACTGCCGGTCAGATGATCCCAGAGGAACCCAATGTTGGGGAGCAGCTGAGGGATCTCGAAGAGGTGATACTGGTCGAGGGATCAGTGGGCGAAGTGGGCGAAGTGGATCTGACAGACGACATGGAAGATGTGGAGAACATGGGGCCCATGAGTTTTGGACCACAGAGCAAGGCCTCACCGAAGCTGCACAAGCAGTTCCGAGGGGCCACTTCCCCAACGAAAGTGGCACAGCAGCACCTCAAACCGAAGACACAAGAAGTCAGGGATGCAAAGGTGAAGGAAAAAGAACAAAATGCTTGACCCAGAAGGACAGTGGTGTAGAGCGAGTTGTTCAAAGTGACAGCATTGACGTGGACTCGATACTTGCTGGATGGTGGCAGGATTTTGATGGTCTATGTCGATTGTCGTACACATGGCAACAACCTGATGAGCAATGTCTTCGGGATGAATTGAAGAAGTTGAGCAAAGTTCCAGTTTGCCAACCTTCGAGAGCAATCTTTGACGGTTTTCCAGCTTTGGAAGATCCTTTATTTTTCAAGAAACCTGAACCGTGGACTGTGCACAATGGCTATGTAATGGACAATGGCTGTGCAAAGTTTGATGATCGGATTCATGGTGAGAACAGTAACCACAATCAACATTCTTGCTTGTTTTCCATGACGGCGGTTGAGGAGTCCGCACTGCAGTCGTGCACTGTTGGTACGTCAGGTAGGGAACAAGGCAGACAGGATGCAGAAAAACCTTGTGGTGAGATTTTGTTTGCGACAGGCAATGGCAGGTCGAAGTCTCAGTACACGGGTATGGATTTGGAGATTGAAAGCGCTTCATCCCATGCAGAAGCGCACACATGGATCAAACATGCCTGTGATCGTAACGATCCTTGTCAAAAACATGTCTTGGGCCGCTTGGTTCAGCAATCTGGGAGCCTTTTGCGGGGTGGCAGAAAGGCTAACTTGGATCTTTCTGAACCCCAGGCCAGTGCCCAGATTTACATGTCCACGGATCAGGGCAAGATTCCATCAGCACCCGAAGGGGCTAGGGACACTGGAGTTGATCCTTGTATGGACGGATGTTGCAATGTGCAATCTCGATCCGATGGTGCAAGCGTTGATGAAAATTTTTCCTGTCATTTTCCAAGAACACATGGTTCGGAGTTTGAGCCACAGCCTTTTGCTGTAGGAGCCTTTGATGACATGATGTATGGGCAGGGAAATATTCATCAAGTACGACACGACATTGATCTCCCCTCTGAGATGCTTGATGCCAATCAAAGTTTTCCTTCCAGCAATGAGAAATTTGCCGATTGTGGGCTTTGGCAAGACTGTGCAAAGGAAGGTACCAGGCGTCATCAGGGTGAAGAAAGCCGTATGCTTCATACCACAGACAGGGTCAAAAATCAAAAATATGGCAGCCATTTGCGAGCTTGCGGGGAGGGTAACTTGGATCTCCTTGGGGCTCAGGCTGAAGACAAAGAGGGTCCTTTGCGGAGTGGGGTCAAGGGTTACTTGGATCTTGGCTCACTTCAGGACCTACATGACCAATATGACCAATCTCAAATCATCGAGTCGAATTGCAGCAGACATGTTTCTTTCAATGAGAAGGTTGACATTGTCTGCTACCAGCAAGAAGATGTCTATCCAGCTACCATTCGAATGGCAGATCAGGCACGATGCTGTCGCTCACTTTGGCACATGCATGGGCAGATCACCGACATCAATGGCTTTTTGCAAGTGTTGGCAGGGTTTGATTTGGAAGATTCGTATCCTACTTCCTTGGAAGTCCATGGCCAATCCAGCCGGGATGACGGGTCCGAGAACCAGGAAGGCCAGCATGTTGGTGACACCCATGATGAAAAACTGGACAATGAGCTGCACAAAGTGGTGGATGAAATTCAAGCAAGCAGGTTGCCAATCTTTGCCGACACTTGGTTTCTTGCCACGAATCGGTTTCAAGTTTGTGTGCGGCCAAGGGAGATGAGGTTGAAAAGCTCTTTTTTGGCCGACCCCGTGCAATTGGAAAGAGACTGTCGAGAGATGTGGCGAGAGCTGGACAATGGTGATCAAGTCACATTACAAGTGTTAGGAGGGCTTCCTACACGTCGGCCAGCAATTAAACTGCACATTATCATTTGGCAAGATCCGTCGCCTAGGATGGATACGATCATCTTCCACTCCGAGAGTTTGCCGCCCTTATTCAAATACAGGGCGGTCATGTTCCCAAGAAACATTGATGTCAATACCTTTTTTGAAAGGGCCCAAGTTGAGGGTGCTTGTCATGTGGGGGTGAAAGCCTGCTACACTCGATGCTGGGAGTCAGGTGAGGAGATTCTCAAGAGCAACCTTGAACAGATGTGGATACCTTCAAACAGGTACATTGAGGGAGACATCAGAATGGTTGATGATGTTGTCCAGCTGGATAGTGAAGAGAGCGACCAGGGCAGTGAAGCCTCCACTTGGGCTGGGAGCCTAGCCGACAGTGTGGAATCTGATGAAAGTTTTCTCATGTCAGGCGGTCCTCCACTTTTCCAGTTGGATGATTACATGCAACACATGTGGGAAACAGCAGGAATGGAAGACGTTGATATGCAGGATGAGGTCCAAGAGCACATTGAGCAGGTGCAGTCCGAGATATTGTATGCACCGCAGCACCTGGGCCACCTGTATGATGAGATTGATCGTCTTCGAGATTTGCAAAATGAAGATGGATCAGAGTGGACAGCGGCAACCTTTGGACTTGGACTGGTTGATTTGGGACGCAGAGATGTGCGTTTCAACCCTTTCAATCTCAGAGGTTTGTTGGAAACAATTCACAGGACCTGGAGTGATCACAGCCTATATGGCAATATAGTGGTGTTCAACGTCCACCCACAGCCAGTAGATTTCTTGGGTCCAAGAATGGTGGCAGTCCTGGTGGTGATAGAGATGCCAGAATCACGAGATGTCACCACACGCAATGTGCTGGTTGTGGAGCAAGCTGCTGCAGATGTTGGTGCCAGACCTCAGCCATATGGAGCGCGCTTGACTTGCGAAGTTTCTGAGCGAGAAATCCTGGCCCAATTGCAGCTGCATCACCACTGTCCACCGTTTGCATTGCGTCCTTGTCATGTGCGTTTAGGTGAAGTGATCCTGGAAAAGGGCCAGTTTTACGATTTTGACCATGGTTCACTCTGCAGAACTTGGATTGGAAATGTGCATTCACAGGTCCTTCAAGCGGAGCAAGCTGTGTATGATGCCGAACAATTCTTTTTGCAGGCACAAGCTTTCTTAGAGACCGAGAACAGTCCGCAGATCATGACATGCAGAGTCCATGGAATTTCTCCGCAGAATCGCCCTTTGGGATCACGTGATATTCACATTGATCCAGTGTGGTTGTATGACCTGGAATGGATTGAAAGAATGAGAATGTTATGGCCTTTTGATGCCAACTTTGCCGGTCTTTATTTTGTGAAGTCGGCAACAAGTGATCAACACGACATCGAACCAACAATTTTTCATTTCATTGCCAGATACGGCCATCATGAAGGACTGCCTGTCCTAGTCAGACAGCAGCTTGTTGCTGTCGAACAAGTGCCACAGGAGCCACGTGATGTCCAGGAGTTCTGGGCAATATCCATTCCTTCAGGTGAGATAGGTTTTCATGTGGTGGCCAGCATGCCAAAACCCCCATTCTGGTTTGAGTTTGCGAGGATTCAGAGGATATACCCACACCTGGCTGTTAATGGAGTGCGCATGAGGGACCTCAGACAACATTGGATGCCGGGCGATTTCTTGCAAGCTCGTTTCCTAGTTTGGCAAAATCACCATGTGTTGTCCATGTTGGTTGGAATGGCGCAAGATCGAAATGATGAAGAGCCTGAGTTCACGTCATTTTTGCAGTTCAGAGGAACAAAGGTGCAGTCAGTGCACAATTGTGGTGAACAGCTTGACGACGCTTTTCAGGAAATTTGTTGTGCCATCAGAGAGCAGGGCATTCAAGCCGTGCAAGAAGATGCAGAGGTTCATGTTGTGCATCACAAAACCAGCGATGTCAAAGAGTCACAAGATGATCATCAAAGGTCACAGGTCACCAAAGATGATGTTCACAGGAATGATGGTGACATTATCGGCTGGTCCATTAATACGCTTCATGAATGTCTTCAAAGAATTTGCGAAAGAGGTCAAGAAGGCATCAATTCAGACTTCTCCATCATACCTCATTTGCACCCACATGCCAAAATTGCGGCGGAATGGGTCTCAGAAACCACCTCAGATGTTGATGTTTGGCATGTTTTCACAGATGGATCAGCCAAAAATGACAAAGCAACATGGGCTATGGTCATCTTACAGGAAATACATGTGCATGACAGCATATGTTATGCCCGAGTTGGCTATGCAGCGGATGAAGTGAATGACGAGATTGGCAAAGTGGATCAGACTGCCATGGATGCAGAAGCCACTGCCATCATTGCTATGATTGAGTACGCTCTTGCCAACTGCACCAGAGACAATGTGGCTGTTTATTGTCATTTTGATGCGTGGACAGTTGGTTTCGGAGCTATGGGTGATGGAGCCATCCCATGCAAAAGGGACTCAGTGTCAGAAAGACAAAAAGCTGCCAGAATGCTGATGACGGTTTTGGAGAGACGTGCGGAAGCGAGGCAGGGATCTTGCACTGGAGTTCACGTTTGTGCTCACCAGGGTCATCCATGGAATGAAATGGTGGACAGTATTGCCAAAGAGGTTTGGAAGGGATGGAAACCATTGAAGAAATTTCACTTCAAGTCAGGACCTCTCTTGCAGCACAGGCTGGCAAACTGGGCATGGATTGAAGCAGCTCCTTCCCTTGAGCTGCCTGGTTTGAAGCGCATCTTGTTGAACGAATCACCAGATGAAGATAGAGGAAAGCCAGATGCGACTTTGCAGGGTGTGGTAAGTCAACCCCTTCAATCCCTCTGCAGTGCCAAAATCAGGATTGCCACTGCTAACGTGGGCACCATGCTATATGGTTCAGAGCAAGGCCAGGGAGTGAGAAACAAAGCCATGGAACTTCTCAGACAATTTGAAGAGAATGGCGTTCACATCATTGGCGTGCAAGAGTCAAGAGCCCACAGGACACAATGTGTAGAAAATGGACCTTACACACGCATGATTGTGGCTGGTGAGAAAGGAAATGCTGGAGTGGAGCTTTGGATCAATGGTAGGGCTTTAGCTCAGACTTTTCGGGCAGATTTCAATCCAAGCACCGATCTGTGTGTGTGGCATCAAAGCAAAAGAATTCTTGCAGCCAGATGCAACTTTGGCAGAGCCATGTTCGACATCATGGTCCTTTATGCACCTCAAAGAGGGAGGCCACCACACGAAATTCAGGAGTGGTGGGACGAGCTGCACAAAATTGCAGCTACCAGAGACAGCAATGTCAATTTGATTTGCTTAGGCGATTTGAATTGCAAGGTTGGCAGTATTGTGACTGATGGAATTGGTGATCATGCCGGAGAAATGGAGGATGAAGGAGGGGAACGTTTTAGAGAGTTCTGCGCAGAGCAAAAACTCGTGGTTCCATCCACTTTCGCTCATTGGCACTCTGGTGTCACCGCTACGTTTGTCAGTCCACAAAACACTCACAGCCGCCTTGATTATATTGCCATTTCTGCTGCTTGCCAAGAGGGTATTGTCGAGTCACACGTTGATGTTGACATGGACATGATGAACGGTGACCGCGATCATCATCCACTGGTGGCGACCTTGGCCATCCAATGCGTCCAGGCTCATGAAGGGAAATTGAAAAAGTGCAACATATATGACCGACAAGCTGCAAGAGCCATGAAAGCAAAGCAGAAGGTTTCGTTGTTGGACAGTTTTCCCATGCAGCATTGGTCGGATGATGTCAATTTGCACTGGGCAAATTTGCGGCAACATGTGCAAGAGCAAGCAGCAAAACAATTTCCATGCCCAAAGCGAAAGCAGCGTCAGTTGTATTTTTCCGAGGTCACATGGAACCTGCTGTGCGACAGAAAAGAGCATCGGAAGCAACACAGAGAGCTGCAAAGGCAGATCAAGCGGCATTTGCTCCAGAGGGTTTTTCATGCATGGAAAACAAATGATGATCTGGCAGGGCAAAGATCACTCTGGGATCTGGATTTGAGCATGCTCAGGCAGCAAGAAGCGGTTGTCCTTGAGGCGAGGATGAAGTTGGATACCAATTTCAGAGTGAACAAAAACAGAGACTGGAAAAATTGGGTTGACAAACTTTTGGAGGACAAGATCTCCAATGCGAACAGTGCTGGTAATGACAAGCTGTACAAGATTTTACAGCCGAAAAGGATGATCGCCAAGCATTGTGGAAAGTTGATCAAGCCGCTTCCAGGTCTCAGGAATCAAGAAGGAGAGTGGCAATTCTCCAGAGAAGCCATAGCTGCGGAATGGCAACATCAGTTTGGACAGATTGAGCACGCCGAAATTGTGCAGTTTGAAACATTGATTGAAAGATCGCAGCCCCAAACAGGTACACGAACTGTGCAGCATCTTGAAGAGATTCCGACCTTGCTGGATGTGGAGAAGGCGCTGAGGGATTTGAACGATGCAAAAGCCACAGGTCTTGACGGTCTGGGAGCTGAATTGTTTCAAACCGAATGTGCAAAAGCAGCAAAAAGGATTTATCCTCTGGTGTTGAAGATGGGTTTGAGATGCCAAGGGATCCCCGAGCTCTCCGGTGGATGGTTGCTGCCTTTGTTTAAAGGTAAGGGGAGTGCTCAGCAGATGGCCGGTTACAGAGCAATTCTCTTGGAACCTGTAATTGCAAGGGCTATGTCACGTGCATGGCGTCCCAAACTGACCAGAGGGTTGGAAGCCATAGCAATGCCCATGCAATGGGGAGGACGAGCAGGCCTATCAATAGAGGCTTTGCACCTGCAAGTCCAACTATGGCAAGCGAACGCCACCATCAGAAAAGAATCCCAGGGTCTCATCTTCATAGACATCAGAGCAGCTTTTTACTCTGTGGTCAAACAAATGCTGACGGAGGAAGGAAGTAGCGAGCCTAGAACACGTGCAGTTTTTGAGAAGATGAAGCTCCCAGAATCAGTTTGGGAAAGTTTTGCCGCACATGTGGATGAATGCTCCCTGGTGAGACAAGCAACAGGGTCTACCATTTTGGCACAGGGCACCCAGGCGATGTTGGCACACAATTGGTTTGCCATACCTGGAGCTTCCAGCATCTCATCCCCGATGACGGGGACAAGGCCGGGAGACCCCAATGCAGACTTGCTTTTCGGTCTGCTTCAAGCCAGAGTGTTAGCCATGTTGCACAGCAGAGCCTCCCTTGCCGGCATGCCACTTTTTCCAGATGATAAAAATGGGCTCAAAGTGCCGAATTGCGTCACGTGGGTGGATGACATTGCCATTTCGATCACCAGCTCAGCCAAGGATGTGGTTGCGCAGACGACGCACATGTTGTCACTTGTACGTGATGTGATGCTGGAGTATGGTTTGCAATTATCCTTTGGAGCAGGGAAAACAGCAGCAATGATCACTTTCCATGGCAAAGGAGCGCACAAGGCGCGGCAAAATTTTGAGGGCAAGCAAAGTGATCATTTGACCATTCTCACCGAGCACCAAGGGGCCGTCCAAGTGCCCATTGTGACGCATTACAAACATCTGGGAGGCTTCATCACCAAATCAGGTAGCAAGTTCCAGGAGATTCGTATCAGAGCTGCTGCCACTATGGCAAAGTTGAAACCCCTGCGCAAACTCCTGAAGAGCCCTGAGTTAGCAATTGAAAAGAAACGCCTCATCTTGCAGAGCATGGGGGTTTCCGTGCTTACCTTGCATTCAGGGACATGGTTCAATTTGACCCAGTCAGAGTTTGCGGCATGGCAAGCAGGGGTTTTTCGAACCTATCAAATGATTCAACCCAGACATGAGGATGGGCAAGTGCCTCACACTCAGTTCTACAAGCTAGCTAGCGAGGCTGGTTTACCTATGCCAATGGAGCTGCTGTACATTCAGAGATTGAAGTTGCTTTTTCATGTCATGGGAGTGCAAGATGGTTTCATGATCAATGGCATCCTGGAAAATCATGAAGCGGACGTTCAATGTTCATGGTTGTATGGTGCTATGAAAAGCATCAAATGGATGCGTAGCCAGGTGGGCAACTTTGTGGTGCCGGAGGAACTGGATGAGCTGCAAGATGTAGCTACATGGAATCTGTTTGCACCACATGCCAAGAGGTTGCAGCAGTACCTCAAAAAGGTTCAAAGGGCACATCTTTACAAAATCAGAGCATTGTGCGCTGTCAAAGACCATTCAATCAGACAGAATGAAATTCTTTTTGACATGGGCTGGACATTTGATGCACCCAATGATGATTTGGGTGGCGTGGAGGCACATCGCTGTGAGTTATGTGATGATGTGTTCGATACTCCAGCAGCATTGGCGGTGCACCAGCAAAAGCGGCATGGTCTGAGAATTGCAACGCGCAGGTTTGCAATTGACAGCTGCTGTCGTGCCTGTGGAAGATGCTATCACACGCGCTCCCGTCTGCTCCGACATTTGCATGTGGGCAATACGGATTGCTGGGTTTGGCATTGCAGACGTTACATTCCAATGACTGTGGAAGAAGCAGAAGAAAAAGACAATGAGGACCGAAAGAAAGGAGTGGCCATGCATCAGAAAGGGTTTGCGGATGTGGAAGCAGACAAAATGTGGCGGCCATGCACTGAAATCGAGCTCATGGATCGTTTGCAGTGCAGAGAGGATGTTATGGACAGTTCAGAACAAGTGAATGACAGTGAATTGAAGCAGTGGAGCCAGTTCGGGATGCTGCCGCCAGGAAGAGGTGGAAGAGTGAAGACATCTCGAAGGGCCACTGAGATGCACTTGTTCAATGTCAACAGAGACATTGCAATGTTGGAAAATACCATGCTAAAGGAGGTGGGACGCTGGTCGCCAGACTTTTCATGGGTGCCAAGACCGCTATCATGTGGTGCCAGATATTTTTTGGTGCTATTTAGCGGCCATCGTCGGTTTGCCGACATTGCTCAGCAGTTGTCTTGGAAAAGCAACATCATACCGATTTGTGTGGATTTAGCCGTGGATCCTTGGCACGGCAATATCCTGCGGGACACACTTTGGCTCCAACTTATCAGGGCAAGGAAAGTTGCAGGTGCTCACGCAGGTCCCCCCTGCGAGACTTATACCTTTGCCCGTTGGATTGAAGTGGAAGGAGGTGGACCAAGACCATTGCGGACCACTTCAGAACCATGGGGAAAAGATGAGCTTACCATCAAGGAGGTCGAGCAGGTCTTCATTGGTACCATCCTCATGCTCCAAGCGATCTATTTGCTGCTACTGGTGTTTTTGCATGGAGGCAGCTTTTCACTGGAGCACCCCAAGGGCCAGGGTGGAAAGGATGGCAAGTGGTCCATATGGGACTCCGCCTTTGTCAAACAACTTATGCTGTGTGCGGAGGTACGGAGGGTGGATTTCCTTCAAGGCCCATTGGGCCAGCCATTTCCGAAGCCTACCTCGATGCTTACAGGCAGATTGGAAAAGTTTGCCACGCTGCTGTTCGAACACTACCAGCCCAACTGGAGGCCAACTGACAGATTGGGTGGAAGGGAGAAAGGCAGCAAGCAGTGGAAAACGGCGAAGGCGAAGGCTTATCCACCTTTGCTGTGTAAGGCTGTGGTGGAAGCACATCTTCATTTCGCAGAGACCATCACAAGTGATCATGAGGAGCCTGAACCTGAAGGGCTGCGTGAAGCCCTTCAAGCGTTAGCCCAGCCTTTTGATCCATACAGCATGGACAACAAAGGTGCCGTTATGGGAGCAGATTATTGGGGACGTGCTGTCAACGGCATCTAATTGCAATGCTCCAGTCACTAGCCATCAGAGTTTTTATTTCTGGTGAAGCGAAGACTGTCGAGCCATTTTCGGTGTGTCACCCCATCTTCCATTTTCCACATGTTCCGCCAAAGCGGCTTTTGGGAACGTGTCGTGCAAGCAGGCGTCACAGAGACTCTGACCGAGTGGAATGATAAAAAAATATATATATACACCCTCTGGTAATTTAACATAGCTATTGAAAATGACCATAAATAGTGGATTTTCCCATTAAAAATGGTGATTTTCCATAGCTATGTTAAATTACCAGAGGGTATATAATATATAATGTTCATGACTTCAAGATCCATCAAGATCATCAACTCTCGCTAGCACAACGTTTGCGCGACAAAGATCACATCTCCAAAAAACCTTTCAGATGCTATTAACATTATGTTATCATCATTCCATATCATTCCCCTCAAAAGATGATCATGTTTCTCAATTCATCCCAGCTTTCAATGGATTGGTTTAAGCGAAAATCTTCACCGGAAACCATGGTTTTTGCAATGAAATATAGGGCTTTTCCTGGAAATGTTTCCCTTAGACCAATCCATTGACAGCCGTCTCAAGGACCATGGTCTCCAGCCGGACCACATCAGCTTCAACCTGGCCATGGCCAGTTGGAATCGCAGCTGGCCCCAAGTGCTGCAGCTAGTGGCCAGGATGCGGGAAGGCCGCATCGCCACAGGCTCCAGCTATGTGGGAAGCCCAGGAAGCCCAGCTTTCCGTGTGAAATGGGACGCTGATAAATGTTGACAACAACTCCAAGGTTGAAGAAAATTAAGACAAATTAAGACTTCTGTATCTCAAAAAGGTGTTTTACCTGTGATAGATCATGAAGGATTATAATTATAACAAAACATACTGTAATAAGATTATATAAGGGTTTCATCTGGATAGATCTTTGCAGTTGGGCGAAGCTACTCAGGGGGTCGTAGCGATTGTGGTTGTGCCTACGCGATTTGCAATGGTTTGCTGAGTCGTTTTAAGGGTTTCTGTGGGTCAAATCCATGTATTTCCGTTGGATTCTTGGGTGACCATACTATTTGGTGAGGTTGTTTAGCATATTTGCTTGCATGGGGGAAACGTCCGTCCCTGTGGTCATTCCTCCTGCATACTTCCTTTGGATGGGAGGATAGTTCATCTTTGTTTACTTGATGGTTTGGGATCAAGAAGGGCTGCGGTGACGCAGGGAGTTGCGCACTTCATCTTACGGTCAATGACGGCCCTGGGTCCTGCGTTTGGAACCTCATGAATCAGGGGTCGTCCGGGGGGGTCGTCCGGGGGTCGTCCGGTTTTCATCTATTTCCGTTTGTTCACTCCGATTTTTCTTCTCTTCTCAAATTAATCCAGTCCGCCAGGTTTAGTATTGTAGAATGATTGTTTTGCAATACAGCGTAGTGCTGGGTAGCGAGTCTGCAGTGCAAGGGGCAGGCTCTCTAGTGTTCTTTATACTGGTACTTTGTATCCTTCAAATGAAAGCAATTGCCTTGTGTTTCGATGGATTGATGTGACCCTGCTGCGACCCGGTCGTGGCGACTTTTCCGCGAGCGATTTACCACATTCAAGAAAATTGCTGTGACTTCAGCTCCTGAAGAAGAAGAAGAAGAAGAAGAAGGAAAGGTTTTCGCAGAGGCAGCCCAAGACTTCAGCTCCCGACTGTGTACTTTCTTCATGTTTCTTGGGTTTCGTGTCCACATGTCTGAGAGGCTGACAGTAACCTGCCACAGGGGTTTTCTGGCTCAACGCCCTGTCTCCGTCTCGCAGCGTCGAAAACGCCCTGTCGCCATGGAAGCGAAGGCCAAGGCGTCCAGCCCGCCCCTGACCATCCGTGGGCAGAAGCTGTCTGGGGAGGAGCCGCTCGGCGATGAATCGTCACCCCACAATGCCAAATCCCCGGTTTTTGTAAAAGGATGTAATCATTTTGGTGGCCCATATGATGGAATTTAATGGAATTTACGCATGTTGAGTTTATGAGTGATGATCTTGGGTTTTTGATAGGGGTAAGGGATTTATATATGATTTATGTGTCTTCCAAGACCATCTTGAAGTGCAAGGCTGCTGTGGGACCCCAGCCTCTCAGCTCCCAACCTTTGGGTACTGTATGGCTCCTATTGGTACCCAAACTATCCCAAATTTCGATCAAATTTGATGATGTCAGTTGGTTCCGTTGGGTCAGTTGATGTCAGTTGGCATCTCAATTTTCAGTCAGAGCCATTCCCATTTCAGGCTGGAGCCCGTGATCATTTCCGGCTCTTCTACTGTACAGCAGCTGCTTGAGCGAAGTGAGTTGCGTGAGGGTGAAACCCGACCAGGCCCTCAGTCCCCAGAATGGGTTTCACGTGGGATATTAATGGTGGTATTTTTAGGTTGGAATTCAGGAACATTTAATTGACAACTGTGATGTGCGCTGAACGGGTGGCATGTGGAATCAGGTGGGCATCAAAATTTCACCATTAAAGTTATGATGAACCCTGTGGTGCTTCTGCCCATCACAGTGCGGGAGGCCCACATGAGGTAAAGATGATAAAAGCAAATTATGCGTAATTATATAGATTCGTTGCGGCAGTGAATGGAAGCAACTGGGGGCCGAGAGGAGAAACATCAGGAGCATTTCAACTGAATTCGTTGGGGGAATGGGCCCAAGGCTCAGTGATCTCTTTCGCCAGCAGCTTGTGGGCGCTCCGTGCCGCGTGACTTTGGCACTGCATGGGCGACTTGGCTGTGGACTTCCACAAGGAAGCCTCGGGGAGCTGGTTTATCATAGTAACATATATTATATTGTACCCAGATAGGTCGAAGAGTAAAAACTCCTACTAAACAAATATAGGGGCACATTTAAGAACTGATCAATTTGTTTGATTCTTTTTCGAGGTTGCCGTACTAGAAGGTTGGAAAACCCGGAAGAACTGGGCAAACCAGGTCAGACCCTTGGTTGAGTAGCTGTTTAAATATTTGTGGAATTTAGTGGATTATTTGTGAAACCTCTTATTATTCTTATTTCTTAACCATGGGGTGGGGATACTACTGGAGATGGCCAGAGAGAGAGAGAGAGAGAGAGAGAGAGAGAAAGAGAGAGAGAGAGAGAGAAAGAGAGAAAGAGAGAAAGAGAGAAAGAGAGAAAGAGAGAAAGAGAGACAGAGAGAAAGAGAGAAAGAGAGAAAGAGAGAAAGAAAGAGAGAAAGAGAGAAAGAGAGAAAGAGAGAAAGAGAGAAAGAGAGAAAGAGAGAAAGAGAGAAAGAGAGAAAGAGAGAAAGAGAGAAAGAGAAGAAAGAGAGAAAGAGAGAAAGAGAGAAAGAGAGAAAGAGAGAAAGAGAGAAAGAGAGAAAGAAGCCCCTAGAAAACACATACTGTACTCTTTGAAAGGCAGCGATCACTCAAGAAACTGGTGATAGCCATGGTAATCCCAAGTTTGCATGGTATGTCTGGCACCTCCCCTCATGGATGTCGTCCTCACAGCGGGCTGCATGTTTTTTCTTTTTTTAAGGCCTATTGTTTCCATCCAAATCCCCAATGGTTGGAACCAGCGCGCCCCAACCCCTCATGGTTGATCATATGTTGATCATAAATGTCCTACTGAACTGGCATAAGCTTACCAGAAACCCACCCTCGATGTTTGGACAACTCCCACTGGTCCAGGCAAGCGTTATCCATGGATGACACTGTGGAGAGTTGCCGCCTCACTGATGGGGCAGACGTCCATGTCATCATTCGACCAGATGCCTGGACCCTGCGAGAGGTTGGTATCAACGGGAAACCCAGGTGATTGAGGGAAACAACCTGAAACACCAAAAACTTGTCCTGCAAATCTGCCCTAAACCAGTGAAATGTGCACCATCTGACACCATCTGACACGCTGGCGTCCAGGTGGATATGGACACGGGCCTGCGGGTTGTCCTGGAAGGAGATGCTTGCCGGATGCCGAGGAGAGGTTTCAGCGAACTGCAGGACCTTTCCTTTAGCACAAATGAGGGGTTCAGCAAAGGGAACCCCAAAAACTGACATGGCAGTGTGTCAAAACCTTGTACCCCTGGTGAACATCAAAATAGCTGGTAAATGGATGTTCATCCCACTGAAAATAGTATTAATAGGTATTGATCCATACCCACATAAGCTTTACCACATGGCAATTCAGGAAGCCCCCAGGCCCCCAGGGTGGCCCCCTGCGCAAACCCCAAGCTCCCTGAGGTTGGGAGGGTGAGACCCTGCTGCTTCGCCATGAAACGGCCTGTGCTTCACCTGGCTGGGAGACTGGTCTGAAAGTGGGAGAACATCTGATAAACTGAAAGTCCCGGAAAGCCATGGGAATGTCATGAATATTCATGAATATGATAAGTTTGAAACGAACCTCTTAAGCTTCTGCTTCTGTGTGATCTTGATGGTTGGGAAGCATGACCGCCTGACATTCTAGATTCTAGATACTCTTTAGGAAAGTCCGAGTCATGAAAACAACCATTTCATACCCTTTCTGTTGACTCATGTTGAATCCAACTTGGCACGAAGGATTCTAGAGATTCCAACCCGAAGTCAACTACATTCAACTACCACATACAGCAACTAGTATGGTTGTTTTCCAGTCTGTGAGAAGGGATGGAAGTCAATAGAGAAAGGGTGGCCTGGAGCACCGTGGTATCATCTGATATCATCTGGCAGCGCAGTGGGTAGGGCTCCAATGTCAAACCCGACCAGGTTGCTCGCCCAACAATATTATATAATATTATATAATATGATATTATATATATTGATATATATATATATATACATTGTGTACAAGGATTATCAACGCCCCTGAAGGATTATCAAACGCCCATCAGCCCTATCAGGGTTTGGTCACCCCTCTTTTTCGGTTGGGGTTACCTCGTTCGGAACATCTTGAGAGCCCCCCCTAATCAATCCATCGGAACATCCACCAGGCCCAAACTTGGTGAAAATGTACCACCCATTTTTTGCCCACAGCTTTGGGGAATCAAAGAATGGTTTCCTGCTGTTTCCTGTATAGCACCCCCCCAAAGTCCCAAAGAATCAAACAGACACAGACCAGGTTTTCTTTCCGCTTGACTCGGCGGAGATTACGCACTTTTAGCTCTTTGAAGTAGCTTCTGGGATTTTATATCAGCGTACAGCTGCTTAGCTATGGACAATTGCCTATTCTAGATGATTACCTCTTAAACATGTTGAATTTCCTCATTGTTAACTGACTCAGAGGGTATAAAATCCGATTGATATTTCACAGATTATCCCCATTGATCATCTCCAAAAAAACATCCCGCAAAAAAAATCTCCATTACATCCCCATTATACCACTATGATATCCCTATAAATCCCCTATCGTTCCACTTCACTGAGGACATCTGCCCAGATCTCGACAGCGACTTTGCAGTGGAGGCCACTGTGAAGCTGGACGAATGGCCAGGGCCCGACTGGCAAGGTGCCGGTGACATGTCGGTGGAAACCCGCAACGGGGGGGCTGCAAAATCCTGTGGAAAAAATGGTGATTTGATGTTTTTTTTCATGAAACATGATGATTTGCTGGTAAAACTACCCATGTTTTCCCTATGAAAAAATGGTGATTTGATGGGTTTTTAAAATGGGACAACCCCGTATATAAATGGAGCTTTTATATAAATCGTTTTAATAGGAAAACCATAGAACCAACAATGAACTAATAGCGGGTTTTCAATTGCAACGTTTGATGACACCGGAGGGTCACTGGCTAGTGGAGCTATTTTTACCACTTAAAAAATGGGACAATCCAGGAATTCAGGGACTTACTAACCAGGGTTGCTAACCAGTTACTAAGTGGGATCCTTAAAGCAATCTGGTCATCATGTCAACTGAGGGGTTATCCCAGAATAGTTTTCCAAATTACGACTGAAATAGTATTCCCCCTTATAATTTTTTGAATCTTTTTGACAATTGACATCAATGGATCAACTGGTGGTTTGGCCAAACGGGTTCAGTGAATTTCGTTGTTGATGGGTTTTCAACTATGGTTTCCTGTCAGCAACTGACAATGCGGCAGGCACAGTGGTCTCGCAACATGGCAGTGGCACTGGATGGGAGCTCCGCTGTGGAGGTGGCATGGGCTTGGTGCTTTCCAAATCTTTCCAACATTATTTTTGAATACTATTCGGATCTATTCGGGATGATGATCCTAAAGTGGGAAACTGTTTGGGATGGGTTGAAAACACCAATCAATCATCATATATCATCATAACGATCATACGATCATAATCAATCAAGACTTGAACCCATGTTCCTGCCAGGCCATATCCATCTATTTCCCCTTGAAATATCTTGGGATGAAAGCTCCATCGCTTGGTGGTTTCCAGCGCCAGGTCCGGGAGTGAACTGTGTGTTCACTACTTCACGCGGCGGTCACAACGAGCATATGCTTCCACTGATACCTGGGCTTGAAAGACATTGAAAGACCATACGAGACCATACGAAACCTTGAAGTGAAATCCATATGTCTGGCCTGATACCCTCTGGTAAACTAACATAGCTATGGAAAATCACCATTTTTAATGGGTAAAATGGTAAAACTATTTCTATGGCCATTTCCAATAGCTACGTTAAATTACCAGGTAGCAATCAAGCACTGTCAATCCAACTTGTGGGAATCTTCAGTGAATCTCTGTGGAATGGCATGCAGATGCATGCAGTAACCAGTCATGAAAGTCGTGCCCAGGAAGGGCAAAGTGGGCAAATGGCATCACCTTTGTATGGTCTACGAGAAGTCCACCCGTTCCATCACATTGCGACATGTCCAACCAGTGGTGCTGCTTGTGGATGATGTTCGGATCATGATACGCGATGCGATTTCTCCCGAATTGAATCTTGGAAGGTGCAGTCTGTGGCAATATAATTATAATATTAATTGTGTATTTATATATAATTATAGTAAACCTGCATATGCAAACCTCCTTCCAATTGTCGCATGATCCGTTTCTCACCTCAGCCAGGGCGCATTTGTTGGGTCTGGTTGGACTGCGCTAAAGGTACGCCGATGGTGTCGGGGGTGAGCCGAAGAAGATCGAGGGCAAATTCAAGCCCCACACACGAGGTGGCGTGGAAATCGGCAGGCGACGGGGGGCGACTGCGAATGCCGCGGGAAAATCACGGGGCATACATTTGAAATGGGTGGAGTGTAGCTGGGTTAAGTTGTTTTGTTTCTTATGAATTCTTATGATTCATTGTCTTTTTCATTGGTCTGAGTCTATGTTCAAAGATGTCCATTGCAACCATGTAGTGCCACACTTTGAGAAGCACAGTTTGACGCTGAGCAAGGCCTTTTGATTGCTGAACATTTGGTTGTTAGCAGCAATTAACACCAAACAATCACAAGTTATCATGTTTTATCATAGATAGACATTGTCTGACATGGATGGTGTCTTCTGGCGCAGGGTCCTAAAGTTTTTTGTGCCCCCGTGAGGAATCCGGCCTGGCATGATCGCGGCATTGTTGGAAGGATCCGCAACGCCACCGTTTGGCCTCAGGGTCTCAACACCAAGGACGGGCCTTGCTGTCCTGCTGTCAGAATTCTTCCGGCCAGTCACATAAAAAAAATATGTTGGATGACATGAGTCGCGTGACCCAAGCGCAAACTTGGGCCTGGCCCAACCGGTCATACGCTGCCAGGATTTGCCTTTCCTGGCTGCAGAGCAAGTGGCTCAAGCCGAAGCATCAGAACTTGATCTGAAGCCCACTAGTGCTGCAGCCAGCAGTGGCTAGCGACATGCAGGACGCTGACCACTAGTGCTGCAGCCAGCAGTGGCTAGCGTCATGCAGAACGCTGACCATTGCTCTATGCCAACATGGAATCACTTCAAGAAAAAAAGAGCGGATCATGAGAGCTGTGAGCTGGGCTTGGGGTGCAACCTGACGCGTTGTCATACGTTGTCATGGGAATCAACTAAAACGTTTTGGATTGTTTTGTCATTTTGGATCATTTTGGTGGGTATGGTGTCTTATAATGTTGGGTCAGCTTTTGTAGAGATGTGTAGAGTAGATGGTCTTGTGTGTTTCTTGCTCTAGCACTGCAGGCCCATAGAGCAATCCAAATCGCTGCTAACATCACACCCTTTCAACCATCTCCCCGGAGCCAAGGTGATTGCCATCGATGCGTGCCGCAAGGCAGGCAGATGGCAATGCAGCCTGGCCTTGCTGAAGGAGGTCTCCATCAAGGCTGGAAACATCTGGAAACCATGGGAAATCCTGCCATGATTTGATGGCTTTTGATCGATGGCCCCATGGTTTAGTAAGGTTTAGTGCCCACCATGAATCCTTATGACGTTCTTTGATGATCTTTGATGTTTTTTTTTGGTGGCTTTTATATACTATGCTTGGTTCTACTTTGTTGGGGGAGTTGTTAATCAAGGTTTTGCACTGGTTACTTGAAAAAGGCGCCAATCAATTCCTCAGCTGATGCCATTTGTGAGGTCACAGCTGCAGACTTGGAATCGTGCTATAATGCCACGATCAGCTGCTGCCCCTGGTTTTGGGCCCTGCACTTGGCTCTTGAGATGTCAAGGAGGCTATGGCAGCGCAGGGGAAAGAGATAGAAACACATGTGTTTTTTTGGTTTAGATGGAGTTTGATGCAGGTCGGAAAATCTCGATTTGGAGTTTTCTGAATGGTGTGTTTCTTCTTGCTTGCCATCCTTACGTGGCGATAACTAGCACTCTAAAACGCCAATCTTATTTTGGGGCTCAATGCGGTCCAGCCGCCAAGCAGGAGATGTTCAACAATGTTGTTTCATTCATATCCCTACCATTTATATTGTAGAACCCCCGTTTGGCTTAAGACTGCTTTTGCCGTTTTGGTGCAGGAGGGGGGGGAGTATTGATGCACGGCTGGTGCGCGGAAAAGGAAAATAGGGGCAATTCTTACATACTTCTCCCAATTGTTGTAAGTGTTCCCACCTTCTGCATACAGTATTCCATGTGTTTGTTTGTATATACGATACCTTTGGACCAGTCCCAGTCCCTATATAACTGACCACACTATGTTTATTCTAGTGCTGGGCCCTTTCGAGCCCTCAGGGGCCCATCATTCCATGGAGCTGCACGGCTGCACGCTGGTGCCAGGCACACCGTGAACGGAATTACTTTGGGCACGGTGCTGCGGTTGCTGAGCCGGGCAGGGCGCCAGGACGTGTGGGATCCTGTGGGTATTCAAAACGGTCATGGTTAGCCAATGGGTAGTGGGCGGCTTCAGGTGTCATGGGGGTTCTCCCCAAACCCTTCCTTTCCATTCCTTTATTTCGCAAGTTTTTTTTTTGGTTTGAAGGAGGTGGACAGATGAAAGGGAGAAGATGGGAGAACAGTAGATCCATGCTTGGCCATTTGAAATGCCCAATTTACAAGAGGACTTGGCTAAGCGATGGTCAGAAGAATTGAGGCGTTCCGCAGGGAGTGGGCCAATGGGTCAGGGGATACTACCAAAGGTACAAACGAGCACGGGGTGGTCTGACTAAGTAATAGACAGTGAGAAGGATACAATATGCTGCAATCATGGAAAAGCGAGCGACGGTACTTGGACAGGAAGCGAACGCGATAACACAGCAAATCATCCAATGTGTGTAGATTGTCACGAAATGACATGACTCACAATGACGCAGTGATTACTGGGCGAGTGACTGTCTGACTGACTGACTGACTGACTGACTGACTGACTGACTGGCCGATGAATGAATACATGTGTAATATATATATATATACACACGTATAGGTGCACGGTATTTCTACCATAAGGGTCAATGGTTATTGATCAGCCATGACCAAGAAAGTCTTTATCCTTGCGCCACAAAGATCTATTTGTTGAGGCGCGGGTGGCAGCACCGTTGGCTGGCTCAGACGGAAGCGCCAATGTAGCGGGGCCGCAGACATGGAAAGACCAGGGTGGGTGGGGTGGTTTGGATCCAGCCAGCGACCATGTAAGGTGAACCCCCCGAACACATCCGAACACTATAATTACTGCGGGTTTAGCTAGTGGCATCTGAACCATCCATTATTGGAGGTGTAACTTTTGGGTTGGTTTAATTCCCATCGTTATTTTCCTTGATGTTGCGAGTCTGCCAAAAGTGCTGCTATGCGCCACCGCAGTTCGCTTTTGATTTGTGAGAAGTCTTCAATCTCAATCAAGACTCATCCTTTCAACGGATGGAGATGCCTCCAATCCATTTTGGAGCAATTGCTTTGCCAACAACCTTGGCTGGATCTTGAGACCAGCGTTGAGATTTGGGCACGGGTCAAGCCAGTCGATCCCTGTAAAACTGACACGGTCATGGTCCAAGTCTTTGGGCTTAGGGTGACCTGTGGTGACGTTTTGGTGTCTGGATTATTAAACCGGTTCAACCCCGTACGAATTTCTGTTGGCTATATGTCATATGTGCATGCTAGTTTGTTGGGTTCTACCACTCTGAAGGACCATAGCTCTGCCATGATCGATGGCTTAGGCCAGGAGTCTTGGAGAAGTTGCGTGGTGAGGCTAGCCCACAATGCCAGTTGCTGAAGGTGATTTTCTACGGCAAGTCACATCAGCCGGTGACCACTTGGTGTCATAAAACATGGTGGATTTTCCAGCCATGGAGCTGATGACACCGGAGATTGCCATGTTTGTAACTCGGTCAACTTCAACCGAAAAAATGTCGTAGGATTAATCAACCCCCCCCACAAGGTAGGTAGGTACCTTGTAAGGTCTTTCCTGTATCCCCCCTAAATAAACGGCCCCTGAACATCCCTGAGCCGTAAAATTTTGGATATGGCTTGGAAACTATTGGCTGAAAGCTATGGGGGACATTGGGAATGAATGGGCAAATCCAAAGAAAAAACATTAGGGACATGGTGGTTGATTAATCAGAGGGCACCTTGGTTATTATTAATGGGGGACATGGGCTCATGGGGGGTACCCTTTGGGAGCTATCGAAACTGATGATTTTTATAAAAAAAAATAATTAGAAATCGATAATTTGGGGAATAGTTGTTTTTTCCAAATTTTCAATGATCAGCAGTGATGGGTTCTGGTGTTCATGCGGTTCCAACTTAAATATATATATATATATATCATAAGGAAACCATAAGGAAACCATTTGAAACTTTTGGATAAAAATGATTTCAGCACTGGTGGTTGATTAATCATCCCAGGCCAAACGGTTTTTTAATCCAGGGGGACCACCTGTTTTTAAATTACATTTTTTTGGGGGTCAGTGGTGGTTGATCGGGAGAGATTAATTAGTCCTACCTTGACATTACTAAATATCTGAAAATTCTGAAGGTGCTAATCCACCAGGCGTGAAGAATATCATAATGGTAAAGATCTAATTTTTCGGTGGCGTACCTTGAGCAGAACCATATGCCATCCAATGAAGAAATTCATGGCTTGCGCTTCGTAGCCAGTAGCTGCGGGTGATGTGAAATCTCATTGTTCTGATATACCAGTGGCAACGGGGGTACCAGCTGACCACGCAGCGTGAATGTGTTGCTTCTGCCATGTTTGGGATGCAGACCCGACAACACAAACCATGGATCCTTTGGGATATTTTGGGATTGAATAATTATTGTGTTTTCTTAAAATGGGGTGCCTGCAAGCCATCCAAAATTACTGTAGATCAGAGAGAACATTGATGTTGATATGGAATGATATGGAAATCCATGGTTTGGAAGTCCCCCATTTAAAATTTAGGAAACCTCTGTGTTTAGCTCAGTGCTGGCTATAGGCGGTGCAGGGTGCAGGTGTGCTGGCAGTTTTGAAGCCCGCAGATTGCACCAGCAACTTGGCATTGGTCGGAGCCCAGATTGGGAAGGGCTTGGTGGGATATCATGTGGGTCTATGTACATTCTAGGTGATATATAGGTGCCTCTGACAATGGTGCTCACCCATGTATATGCCCGGAGAAAAAAACATATGATGGAACATATGATCGTGAAACATTTGAGTTACCCTACTTTCAGACCACCCCATGTGACAGATTGATGCAGTTGGGTCCCTGTGGTAGGTGGTACAACCACTTGTTCTTTTAGCAAGAGGGTGTGGGAAGTAACCATCAGAGAGACCTTTGGGCCTGTGGGACTGATTCGCAACCACTGGGAGTGTTATTCAACTGTTCAGAATGCCTGCGCCCGTAGACTGGAAGTCAGGGTCAGTATGAATACGGGACCCTTCAATCTGCTAGATGTGTGTTTCTAATGTTTGACGTTTGATGACCCATGTTGACACCTTGCTGGTTCTGGGATCTATGTTCAATGGAGTGTGGGAAACCTTTGCAGCAAGTTCGGCTTTTGGACCTAGAGGGCAGCCTTCCATAGTTCAAATATGTTCAAATTATATATATATAAATGTAATGATGCAATTTTGGCTCATGGATGTGTTGAGTCTTAAATTGAATGTCGGCAGTGTCCTTTCTGTCGATGGATCCTTGTTTGCCTTTTCTATTGGTAAACCATCCCGCTCACACATGTCCATCTTACTCTCCAGTCACCACAGTCCGTACCGTCCTACTGTTTTTAAGCCACAATCCTCAGAAAATCCCGCAAGTTCTGCCAGATTATGATCATTTTAATCATTTTGAACCATCCGGAACAACCGTTTGGAACCATGATTGACTGAGTTCTACCACGTAATGATATTAATCAATATTAGTTATTATCTGATCATTTCAATCATGATGAAAATAACAAAACTAATCATCATGAAAATAATCTCAGAATCTAAGGTAAAACACCATGTAAAATTATCATGATGACCTCCTCCCGCTCCAGGCGAAGCCACCCTGGAAGGGCTGCAATCACAGTTGGCCACAGAGGGGTGGCCTGGAAAACTGACGTTTCCTGGTCGTTACCGTCAACTTTGGTGAATTTCTGTTTTATTTTAAGGATTGGATTTTCTGGTTGAGCTAGTGCGCAATTGTTGGTTCATTCTGGTTGATGTATGGTAATTCTTGGTTTGATAGTAGTTAGTCTATGTCAGTCTATGGATATGGCTTTTTTTTTGCCAATGGTTAACCCATGGCAAGTTTTGGTTGGCATCTAAGATTCAGTCAGGACTGATCCCGAACAGGATGGAATTGCCGCAGAAGGCGCCACAATCTTGAAGATACAGATACAGATGCAAGCCTATAACTCATCCATAATCGCGGAAAACGTCGGCCACTATGCTTTTTCATGCTTTTTGGATCTTTTTGGGCATATTCTACGGCACCAAATCGGCACCAAACACCGTGGGAAGAAATTCCCACTTGGATCATCGGATCAG